CAGAGTACCAGCAGGCCATACACAGAAAATTAAAATGTCCAACACACACTTGCAGAAGTCCACTGACTCACCAGGAATCAGGGAATGCAAACGAATGCAATACTTTGCTTCAAGTCCAGGTATGGCCAAATGGTATGTTGCACTTCCTGTTTCTCCCTATCTTCACCAACTCTCAGCAGACTGTTACCATGTCACAACCATCAGATTGGCAAGTTGCTTTCCTTGGCGATGGCCATTTGTAGCCCTCGGGCGCTCACCCTGCGATCCAGTGTGTTTAGACATCATTAGTGGTCAACAGGCTTTCTTTCCTTCCGCACACAGTGGGGCTACAGAGCCCCTCTGGGAGGTTGCGTGACCACCTCTGGACAATGGTTGGTGAGTGGCAGTGCTGTGTGTTATTTGCCACCTGTGCAAGCTCCTCTCCTCTGCCTCTGTTCCTGTCCCAGTGATGGAGAAGCCCAAGGGGTTCCGATGGTGCAGCTACAAGATGGGTCCCTCCATCAGACTAGGTCCCTGACAGACTGCGGACAGGAAGTGTGAAGGAGAAATAAACATTTGGTTGACCAACTAGGGTTGCAAAATGAAAGATAAATAACCTAAAAAAGCCACATGTGCAGCAATTTCTCTAAGGTATAGACCTGGGAACAGAACTGCTGGGCACTGATGCAGAATCTGGCACAGAATTGGCGTTCCCTAATGTGAGTTAGTGAGACCTCACCTAGCCCAGCTTAGAGACACGGAGACAAATAAAATCCGGTTCTTCCCATCAAGTTGCTGAGACAAGTCAGCTGTTATTCACAATATGATATTTTTCCCTTGCCCTCTGCTGTTCAATACGGTAAACACCAGGCACATATGAGTAATGGGTACTTGAAATGTGGCTATGGTGACTGGAGAACCAAATTTTTAATTTTATTTAAATTAAAAAACCGAAGCAGTGTAAAATCTCCCCGTTAAACACAACTTAGGTGTTTTGGCAGGATGGCATCTCACTATAACTGAAAATTTAGCATCCAAATTGAAACACGCTGTAACTTTAAAATATACATCAGATTTCTGAAGACTTTATTTTTAAACAAGTATATACGTACGTGTGTGTTTATATACACAAAACCTCAAATTTTAATTTGATTGAAAATGTTAAATATTTTAGATGAGTTGGGTCAAATAAAACATATTTAGTTTCACCTGCTCCTTCGACTCTTTTAAATGTGGCTATTAGGAAGTTACGCTTACTTCCATGGTTCAGACTCTCTATTGAACAGGACTGCTCTAGACTAAGTCCAAACTCCCCAGCGGGATACCTCATCTCAAGTGACACGTCTGATATGCGCTGCGACCTCAAGGAGGCAGTTCATGCTGCGTGTAACCTGTGGCAGGAGAAGGCTCCCATACTGCAAAGCAAAGAGCTTTACAGACACGAGGGCAGAGGGCGGTGCTTCTGGCCAAAACACTGTCCGACACATTACTCCCCTCGTCTTCATGTGGACCTGGCGAACGAGGTGTCACGCATCTTTCTGAGCTTCAGTTTTCTTACTAAATGTGGATTAGTGATGGCCACTTCCTAACTTAATGGCCTTGAAGTCAGTTTCTGCCCAAGTCCCCTCTCTGAAGCCCCCCTGGCAGTCTCTGCCTCAGACAAACCCCCCTTCAGGCTTCCACGAAATAACCAAAGGTGACAATGTGTTAGACTCGACCTATAGGATTAGAGGATAATGACTCATTCCAACTCAGATAATGATCAGCCAAATTGCTGAATTTAAGCAATTCACATCCCATTCTTTGTTTTTCTCAGGGTCTGCCAATATTCGTCTCAAGCCCAATTCTTTTCCCTTTTTGACTCCTTGGACACTGGGAATGAGATGAGGGAATTAAGCCCCCTCTTCAAATACCCTCGTACTTCCTCTCGAATATGCGTGGAATCAGATGCAAAGGATCTATTATATTTGCCCAGAGGACATCGACAGTGCAACTACACTCATGTGGAGGCTCAACAATTGTGTGGGGTCTTCCCCCAAGCCCCTCTCCTGGAGGAGAGGCCAGGCACGGGTGGCAGGTTGAGTGCCCACATACATACTCTGATGAGGCCACTGACCATGGTGTGAACTGCCACTGATGCCCAGACTAGCACCTCCTGTGAATTGACGCCAAAGCAAAACAAGGTAACTTGGCCTCGTTTCAGGGTGCGCGTGCTTGACCAGCAGTGCACCTGACTCCGCACACACTGTGGAATTCAAAGCCCCCGTGTTGTGCAGAAGGAAGCCTTCATGTGGCTCAGAAACGCATTACGCAAGATAGGCTGGGTAATACACAGCCGCCTTGCTTAACATTTGAAATCAAAGGGCAGAGAACATTTTACAGTTGCTTTATTTAACAAAATGTACGCCAACTTCTATATCTATGTACAAACGTGTTTCAAAACCAGAGCAGCAGACTCACAAACTGTTAACGCAGGACTTAGAATAATGCTTAAAACACGTTACGCAATGTTTTGTTTTCTGCTCATACTGATTTACAGATTCAAAAGTTCTTCCAAAGGCCGAGCAGCATCACGTCTTCCTTGTCTGGGATGGCTTACAAGGTACGTCCTAAAGCAAGATGGAGGGAGCCTGTGAGGGTTAACACTGTGTTCAGCTTACTTCAACAAACAGCACTTGGCCCATTACAGGGGCTCACAAAAGGTTTGGGGCTGGGGATAAAAATTTGAGTAAAATATAATCTATTAGAGTAGAGTATACTTTGAGTGATTTAAAAAAAATTTTCACTCTGTCATATCAAGATCATCTCATTTCTGATCTCCGAAAGAAAATCTACTTTAAAGAATAAGTTTAAAATGATTTTAGAAGTCCTATTAGTAAATTCTTGTGAGTAGAGGTCCTTCACAAAGTAAGGAGTTCACCAATACTCAACACGGCTCTGCCCTACCTTCTCCAGTCTTGTTAGAAATGACATGCTCACTTTACGACATTCATCTACATGTTAACAGGCCATTTTCAAAGTCCTTTATATAGGGGAGACAGTCACTTTTTGCTTTTTCATTTTTTTACAACTTTCAGGAGCCCTCTTAATTCCTTAAAAAGTACTGTAGTTCTGAAAATCTCCAAAAGCTGAGCTACATTTTCTACTCACAAAATTTAGCTCCATCCAAGTACACAAGCTGAGTTTTAGGTAATACTTGAAAAATAGTTGAGGCTGCAAAGTGTAAATATTTCACGTTGACACTTAACACTCTGGCCTGATTCGTGGTCATCTTCCCTGAAAGGTCATGGTCTACCCTTTCAGGAAAGAAGCTACTAAGCAGTGAGGTATAGGAGGAGAAAAAAATAAAAATCACAGCCTTTTCTTCTCCTCTTCTCAACATCTTAGGAGCCTTCCTTCATGCTGGAGGGGTAAAATCTACACAGGGATACAACTTGAGAAGGCTCTCCTTTACGTAGTGAAGTGGTACCCAAGGTCCATTTCCCAAAAGCACCAACCAGAAACGCACTGGGACTGAATATGTAATGAAACGATCCACAGGGTTTCTACTCCATTTGTTCATATAAATGAGACCCATCACTTACTGTGCTTTCATTTGCTAAAAATGAGACCAGACCATTATAAAAATGTACTTTCAAAATAATTTCTTTCTAGAATATAAAAAGTTTTATATTTTTCCAGCCCACGTAATTTCGTTATAAAATAGGAAATCAGAAAATTGACTACTGCAGTTTTCATATGGTAAAAAATATTTATGTGTACATACACATATATACACATAAAAAAATCCAAGTTTTAAATTTCAATAAAAATTAACCAATTAATCAACTTAACGATCATGTATGGAATTACACATAACAAATGTTGATTATCTGTAATGAGAACCAACTACGAAGAAGAATTAGGATCCCACCTATCAGAGGATAACCTAAGACTTTGCCACGGTGGGCAAGAAAATCAGGAAGTCTCCAACGGACTCCCCTACACAATAGAAATCGCGCTGCCGTCTGTTTCCAGCGTGACAGCCGCCAGCTTCCTTCGCGCACTAATCACCTCCCCAAGGGAGGCGCAGCCTTCCAGAGAGGAAGCCGGGCGCCCGTGGCTGCGCCATCGCGGCCTGCAGGCGGGGCGCCGGGCTGCGCGGGAGCCGAGGCCGGGCCTCTCCCCCAGCGCCCGGCGCGGGGACCGCTCGCCCTCCCGCGCCCGAAGGCGCCGCGGAGCAGCAGCAGCCCCGACGGCCGCTGGCGCAGGGGAGCGGGAGCATCCCCCGAGGGGCAGCCTAGGGAAGGCGGGCAACCGGGGAGCTCGGCGGGCCGAGGACTTAGGGGCAGAGGGCTACCGTCAAGGAAGCCCAGGGACAGGGTTCCTGTACCCTAAACAGAGATGGAGGATGTCCCCGCTTTGTTGATTCTGTCTCTGGTTTTAGTATTTTCATGAGGGAACACCTAAGGGGCCTCAAGGGCACAAAGGGAAAGGGCGGGAGCAGAGGCAGGGCACGGAGCAGGAGGGCCTGCTCGGCAGGCCTGGGAGCAGCGTCCGGGCCCAGAGGGGCGAGGGCGGCTCCCAGTGAGGACGGCTGGCGCGCCGATGCCCCACTTCCTTCGCAGTCTCCCCTTGAACTGCCTTCCTAAGGTTTCTGTCTGTTGTGAGAAGCCTGTTTGTTCACACTGGAAACTGGTTACTTACTTCATATTTGCGAGGGTGCTAAGGGCAAACAGGAGACTCAATTTTATCTATTTTGCCTCTGTGACCGCCTCTTTTTTGCAAAAAGGCACATTCCCTCCCCAGTTGTCATAAATCAAGATGTTTAAAAAGAAAGCAAAAGCTCGAAAATGTTTTCTTTCTTCCCTTAACACCTGCTGTACCTGAAGCAGTGCGTTCAGGCAAAGCCTTGGAATCATTCTCTATGACGGCCGACCAACGCACAACTCTCTGTGCTCTAGACGACGCGTGCGAGTCTCAGAGTGGGCGAGGGATCCAAGAGAATGGCCACTTCTCTATCCCCAAATTTAAGTTAACTATTAAGGTAGAAAATATAATTTCCATTAGGTACCAAATATTCAGGAGACATGTTAATGCAAAACAAACAAAAAAAGTGGATGTGCACACCAAGACATGGGTTCACTCCTTCAGTAGTATTTTCCTATATGAAGAGCATGTGTCAAACTCTCTAAACTTGGCCCTCTGCATGGAACAGAAAAGACTTGTATCTACTCACAAAAAGGGTGCTAAACGAAGAAAAGTCTCAGATCCTACTAGAAATCTGTTGAAAGTTTCACTTCTTCCCTCCAGGAAAATGCATGTACATCAATTTGTGCGCACTATGTCAGGAGCTTCGAAGACCTTCCAAGTCCAGTCATGTCTCTCAGGTCAAGACTCCTGGCTCTCAACATTCCTTCAAGGGGTCTGAGGAATTAGCGATCCTCCTATTCCTACAACCTGTGTTTCTCCTATTAAGTCAGGGAGGAAAAAAAAAAAATCCAAACCAGAATTAACTAAAAGTAAGAAAAACAATTTGCTTCGAAGACCAATTTTTAACTTATTTGCCCTTGGAGGAAAGAACATCCCAGTCTCTAGTGGCTTCTATCAAATGCCGCTGGCCGTGGCTCATCCACTCTTCCTGGTCTTCATACAGCCGTCCGCAGAACCAGCACTTAAATATACACTGTGCCGAGTCGTCAGGCAACGAATCCACCACCTGGTAGTTGTTTCTATGAACTTTTTTAAGTTTCATTTTCAACATCATTTGCCTTTTTATTTGACTGGCTTCCTCCGCGTTCTGGTAGGTCAGCCGAACATGATGCCGTCTGATGCCTAACTGACACCTAGTCCTCTCAGACAAGACAACTTTGAGGACGTTGCCTTTGTACTTGTTTATTACCTTCATCACATTGGTCACTTCCGGCGAGTCAACGTCAGGGTGGTTTAACACAATGACAGGCTGGTTCCGCCGGGGGCATTTAATCAACTGGTCTGGTTTGGCTGCTATCAGTCGAAGTTGTCTTGCCACCTGAAAAATGGAAGGATCCTTGAGACAGCGGCTGGGATCAGCCTGAATTTTGCTTCTCTTCTTGGATGAGTTTACTTGTTTGGTTTTATTTTTACTTATAGGAAGACTTCTGGAAAGCAGTTTCCCGTGCTTGCTCAATTCACTGCTTCCTGGTGGTCTGTGCAGGGGTCCGAGTTTTCTAGGGGTGGTGCTGCAAGTAGCACTCTCTTTTCTTGGTTTAGGCCGAACAGATGTGTCAAGATTTTGGGACATGTCAATTGGCCCACTTTCACTTGTCAAAGGCTTTAAGTCTGAGTGTGTCTGTTTCACTGGGCAGAACGGAAGAGGTTTTGTTAACTGTGTCTTACTGCAGGGGATGCTGACAGGTGCTTCACAGGTAGCCTCGATGATGTGGGCATCCTCTGAGGAATTAAGAACCCTCAAGACAGCCCCTTTGGGGATCAGGACTGGAGTAGCAACGTGAGCCTTCCTGGCTACTCTGCTTTCAGTTTCCCCATTGCTGCCTTCTACAAACTGTGGATATATTTGCTGATGAGCAAGTTGTCCATTAAGGCCACAGTCATTCTGAGGTTTTTGGAGAGTGTCTGTGGAATAGTCAGTGCCACTAAATGACACATTAATGTTTTGAATATCTTCAGGGTTAGCTTTCGAAGTTACCTTTGATGTCTGCCCTGCAGAACGACGATGCATACTATTTGCAGCCAAAGATGAAGGCTTGCCACAGGATTCAATTAACTGAGCTATCTTTCTGCGCAAGAGTTCAATTGACTTTATTTTGGATGTTGAACTATTCCACTTAACGCCCTCAGGGACATTTTCAGATCCAGAGCTCAAAGAAAATACTGAAGAGATGATTGGGCCTTCAAAAGAGTCATTAGTCCTTTCAGAATTCTTTAGTTCCAAAGGTTTATCCCCAGGCTGTTGAGACCTGGTTCTGTCTTCTCCTGTTATGTTTATGTGTAAATACTCACTTTTATGTGGAGAGGACAGCTGGCCTATGTTTGAAACTGCCTTCTGTTCCTCTGTCTGGCTGTCTTTCAACCTCCTATTAGATGGAACCATTTTTACAGGAATACTGATCTCGCTTCTAGATTCCAAGTCAGTTTGACTCATGGGCAATAAATTCTTTTCTCCAGAGAAAGAAATGGCTGCAGGCGATGCAGCAGGAGGAAATAGATGCTGTGAGTCACTGTGCACATTTCTTCCATCTTCGGTAAAAGAAACTGCAGCTTTGTATGGAAACGGGTTTGGTGCAGTTCCAAGACCACATAAAACACTGTTTTTTGCTACAGATGATGGAGAATGACCTTTTAAGGCAAGAGAAGGAAGCGGAGTTCTATGTGGATACATGTTACTTTTTTTCTGCAAATTCTCCACAGTCTTAGAGCTGAGAAGGGACTCTCCATAGTTGTGCACACCAGAATTTGACATGAAGAAGTCATAAGAGCTTACCCATTTCACATTTTTAAGTTGCTTCTGAGCCGATGATTGAAGATTACCTGCAAGTTTTCCGACGCTCCCCTCAATCATTAGTGACTTTGTTTGTTCCACAGAAACCATTTTCTCCCGTTCATTTGGACCCTTTTTAGTCATATGCTCAGAGTTCCCTCCATCGGGCCCACCAGGTTCAAGGCAATTATTTTCTTCCAGAGGAAAGAGCTTCAGGACGAGCTGCTGTGTTCCATTGACAACTTTCACATCTATCAGCTGGGCTAAACAGTTTGCAGGGACGACAAGCTCCGCTGGGGCCACAACTGTCAGTGGCATTCCTGGCTGTACGGGCTCCTGCGAGGGGGACAACACTTCCACCTCCACACTCCTGTTCTCAAACAGACTGACTTCGTTTGGCTCCGACAGGGGCGCTTTATTTGGAACACACACCACATCTTTTTGGTATTCCCTTGATTCAGGTAACAACATGATGTTGTGCATTTTGTCTCTGTTTGCGTGGAGGGAGAACCTTGAGAGTTGATCTGACAACTTATTTTGGAAGGTAGTCCTTGGGTGGGAAGCTTTTCCGAGCTCTGGGTTTTGTTTGGATGTGCTGATTCTCTTGGGCTCCAGCTTGGCCACAGTTCTGGGCGGCCGTTTTCCGCCAGCCCTCTCGTGTACTCTCTTCCTGTGTTTGACAATATAATCATTTCTAATAGCACCGTAGTCACAGTACTCACACTGATAGGGGAATATGCCTGTATGTTTCACCAAGTGCCTCTGAAACTCTCCTTTTGTGTAGGAAATGTAGCTGCAGTGAGAACAGATGAACTTAATCTCCTCATGTTGAAGCGTGTGCTTTTTGTACTGCAGAGGGTCCTTGGTGGAAAATCGACATTTATCACAATAGTATTTGCCTGGCTTAAAGTTCCTTACCTTAAATTTGTTACTGACGGAACTGGCAATGGTTTCAGTTTTATTTCCTACATGGGCAGCACTGGGATTACTGTTCACAAAATGAAATTGGGGAGGAGCCACGCCCAGGTTGCATTTGAAGCAAACGTATCTGTCTTCCTTCTGGCTTTGCCCAGTACCCTTTTTCAAATCCTGAAGAGGGATTTTGTGAACACTTTTGCATTTTACACATGTAGCAATGGTCATCATGGCAGCCTCTGCCTCTGAGCCTTGATACAAAAGAGTCTGAGCTTCCTGTCTATCTGGTCGAGTTGCTCTGTTAGCATTAGGCTGTTTGGGTGACATGGTCAAGGAATTAGGTCCATCATTCACTTGTGGAGTATATAATTGCTGTCCAATATCCTTCATCTTCTTTATTTGCATTTCTAAGAAGAGTCCATTGAAATGCAGAAAGATTTCACATGATAAGATCCTTAGGAGGCATCCTTCAATATACTTTGTGATTAGGAGAGAAGCAGCTACTTCCTGGGAGCAGACTTAATTATCTTTTCTTATATGCCACCAGAGTAGGTACATAATCCCAAAATATAGTTGTTTCCAATTCTCTGATATTCCAGGCAACACTAAAGGGGAAAAAAGAAATCACAGAGCATGATTAATAGGTGAACTTAAGGTTTAGCTAAGCTGTCTCCAAACGTACTCTACATTTCAATGACCTTGGGAATTTTATGCTAAATCTCGACTTATCTTAGACACAACTTGATAGTAATACATAACAAAAGAGCTGGGAAATAACAAGCCTAATCTTCAGACTCAGTCTCCTGAAACTCATTGCTTTGGATCAAACATAAACACAGGTCTACCAGGAGCGAGGAGATCACGGCAGTCATTCAGAGCAGCTGTCCGTCAGTGAAAAGTTATTTTCAAATGTCGCTGGGAGCATCCTAGCAGTTTCCCAGGTATAACTTCACATTGACCTCTCTAAAGCCGTGTAGAGGAGGTTGCTATCCGCTTCTAAATGCAAGTTATCAAGTGGTGGAGCCAGGGCTTCGGCTCAGGTGTCCAATGCTTCTACATTGCAGCTGATTATCTGCCTGGATGGAACTCACCGCAAAAGCTCCACCTGCTTTCACAAGTGGTAAGCAGCCAATAATTTACTGACGACACTAGGCAGACAAATCCTTACTCCTTCAACATCTTATTAAGCATCTACCATGTGCCGGCACTGGTCTAAGTCCTGCAGGGCAGGGACCAGAAGCAAATCAGTCTCTGGTTTGCTCTACCCCCTCATGGGGTATAAAGAGGGGCACTAGGGTGTATATCTGTGATGAGGTTGGAAGGTCGGGGCACGGAGGTGTGGATCGTCAAGAAAGGCCTCCCCATCAGCTGACATTTGAGCAGAGCCCTGGCGCAGCCAGGGAACAGGCACTGAGGCTTCTGGGAGAGGGTGCTTGACCAGGGAGAGGGCGAAGTCTGTGGGAAGCTGGCCTGAGCACAAGAGGAACAGCAAGAGGCTCGCAGCAACACCAGCCTCCAGCTGCTGCGAGGACGGGCGCCTGTGAGGGTGAAGTGATGGCGGCAGGAGACCCAGCGAGATGGTGGCAGCAGAGGTGCAAATGTTTTCCAGAGCAATACCACGATATGAATAAACACAGTGACTAATTTTTATACAAAAATCGATAATTATCTTTAAATCATGTTCTTTTTTCAGAATACACAGAACTAGAGGCCAAACAAAAATGATTCTAGTTTGGGATCTGCTAAAAGCCTTTCTTTTATGACCTTAAAAAACCACTTAACCCTTTTGAGCCGCCATTTTTCCATCTGGCAGTCAGAATCAAGGACACTTCTCCAACCTCTCCCACAGTGCGACGACCGTGGCTGAAACATTAAGGAGCATAAGAGAACACTTTTGAAGTTTTCAAGTGCTTCTCTAAGTGTCAAGAGGCACACAGGCGCACGGGGCAAGTGTGTGCCCAACGGTGGGCAGCAGTGAGGAGAATCCGCAGCTGCCTCCTGCACACTGCAACAGGCCAGGAGCCGCGCAAAGTCAGTCTGAAAGGCTGATCTGGGGGAGCAGAAGGTCTCTGCAGGGTCGGGAGAAACAATTACTGCATATTCAGATCTAGCATAAAACCCGTCCGTTAAAAGCATTTTCGGAAAGCACCATAAGAACATACCATATTTGATACCCAGCTTTATTTTCTTTTGCAGTGTTGTCTTTCTCTATTTTGCTGCTTCCTTCCAAAAGCAGTTCCCAGCATGCGATCAAGCCCTGGCGGCAGCAAGAGACTCAATCAGACTTGCCCTACCTTAAGCATATATGTGACACTTAGACATCAAGCTGGCAAAGGCCTGGGGAGTTGCAAGGCGCTATGCCCTCAATGCTCAAAGACGTGCCTCTGCAAGGAAACTGCAAATAGGAGAGGACATGTGAATGCCTCGTACTGGCAAACAGGCAAGGGCAAAGACAAGGACTTGTATTTTCCACTGCACTCCTGGTATGTACAACAGGTAGGACTTTCAGAGGAGTCGCCAGTAGAAGTTGATGCACACTTTATTTTCCAGACTTGTAAACTGGCTTCAGTGAAGGGAGACAGAAGTGACACTCAGAACTTCTGCTACTAATCAAATGACCTCAAGCAAGCCAGCCGTTTGCGTCTGCTTGCTCACCTAGATGATTTCTAGGTCCAGTCTGACAGTGCCGATCCCTGAAATCAGACTTTTTATCACCTAAGAATGCTACTCTCATCAACATTCTCATCCCGTTAAGAGAGAGGAAGCAGTGGCTGCAACCGGAACCCAAGCAAACCTCTGGCCCAAAGAACGCAGAGGCTGAGAAGGGGCTGCAAAGGGATCTGGTCCAGTGGTTCCCAAATCCAGAGAAGCATCAGAATTACAGCTAACACAGACATTCCGGGGTTTCATCCCAAAGCGAGTGAAGCCAGATCTCGGTGGGAAGAGGGACGGGAAAGAGACATTTGCAGTTTGTAAAGGCACTCCATGTAATTCTGATGAAAAGCCAGTATGAGAAATCCTTGGCTGAAACTTCCAGCAACATTTACATCCTTTAAAACATCTTCACCAGTTGATCATGCAATTGGTGCTGTAATAATGCCATAAACAGAACATTGCCTCTCTCTCTAGGCAGCTCATTTTATTTTCACATAGTCCTCACTGTCAAGAATTTACCCTTACATGCAACTGAAACTAGCCTCCTCGTAATTTTCTTTCTTATATCCTGACTCTGGAGCTACAAACAACTTCTCTTGATACAGCAGTCATTCATCTGCAAACCTCTTCTCTCATCTAGTTCTTAGTTCTCATTCTATTCAAAAGATTTCTAAACTAGTCAATCTATACATCTCTGGTCTCATCTAACAACCTCATAATCCTACTAGTTAGAGGGAGAGAAAGGGGCAGGGGAGAAGAAGAAAAAGAGGAGGGGAAAAAAAGAAAAAAAAAAAGAAAAGAAAGGGAAGGAAGGAAGGGAGGGAGGTAGAGAGGGAGAAAGAAAAAGAGAAAGAAAGAAGACAGAAAGAGAGGAGAGGAAAGAAAAGAAGAAAGTAACTTACTTGCCTGGCACAACTTGATTACCAACTCTTTCAACATAAGACCTTACACATTAATCCTAAGAAATTCTCAAATGAATCATGTGACAAGAGTTCTCTATTTGAAGAATCAACCAAACCAGGACTCCATTTGTGCATTTTCAGTTTTCAGGCACCTTTCCCAGCCTCCAGGATTCTTCAAAAGATCACAGGAGGCAGTTTTGCCATTTTCTCTCTAAGTCCTTTTAAAACTTGGTGGTGTCATTTCTCCTAAAACTAAAGACTTGAAATCTAAGAGACTGGACAATAAGATCATGTACACTAGCAAGAAGTGGAGAGTATGCTGATGGAGGAAAGTCCCTAAAGAATTAACCAAGCCAGCCACAGGGCCTGAGGAACGCAGGGGCCTCCGGGAGGTGCTCCTGAGAACCATCCCAGCAGTTATCTGAATTAAGAATCCAGAGGAGCAACTGCCAGTATAAAGCGTGAGCCTGTGATTAGAAAATACAATTTAACGGGGGGGCAAGACATCTAGGCCATGACTGAATTACGCTGCCTGTTGGAAAGGATCTTGGCTTCTAAACCCTCCTCAAAATAATGAAATGTTTTTACATTGGCACTTCCCTCAGTCCAGGTGAAAAGATGTCAGGCTTCTTTAAAACAAGCAAAGTTCTCTTTGGCCTCTGCAACTTGTGTGGCTAGTGCTGGGGGAAAAGATTTCAGATGTAACACCCCAAAAAAGAGATAAATGGACACAGTAACATGACACTGGTATTCACAGGGGGACAACGCCTGAGGCCACAGGAGGCACACCTGAGCAACAGGCTCCTGAGCCCCTGTTCCTTCTATGTGCCTTCCTCTATCTGGCTCACATTCAGGTACAACCACCGAAGAAGCTGGGCCCTCTCGGCAAATTACTCCCCAGTGGACTGATGACCAACGATTATATAAAAACACTGAAGATGAGGGCTGTGCGTGTGCCTGACGCTGAGAGGCACTCAGTGAGTCACTAACATTGGCGTCGGTGTTCACCTGCCTTCCACACTCGCAAGACCTGTTACAAAACCTCTGCATTCAACCTCCTAGGACTAGAAACACAGTTTTAGATGACTTAGGAGCGTTCTCAAAAACACAGAAAATATTTAGTATTATTAACTTTTCATACAATAAATAAGATGGCCATTTAATATTAAGTTGCCTGCTTTTCAACAGCATATAGTGAGCTTCCTAATGCAGAATCACCTATAGCAGCAGCCAAAGACGACGGCCGATATGCGGAAGAGAAGCGGCACAGTATGTTCAAATGTGCTCCCCTAGGCTGTCACACCTTTCCCTGGGGAAGCACAGCATTTGCTGCTGGCAGCTTTTCTTTTGTCTTTGAGCTTACCTGCCCTAGTTTCTTAAAGATTTATTATGGAGAAATAGGGGAAAAAATACTGAGTTTGTTAAAAACCAGTTCAGTGACATTGAGGGCTAGAAAAACCATGAAGGATTGCCTAAGTCCTTATAAAGAGGAAGCATTTGACTTCCAAATACTGGAAATGTCAAATGTTCAACAGAATTAGAAAAGAAATCAGTGGTAAAATAGTGTTTAAAACTATAGGTTCTGGAATCAGATTACAGGTTTTAATTCCCAGTCCTGTCACTTTCCAGGTATGTGACCTGGGGCAACTGTCCCATCCTTCAACTGTAAAATAGAGACAGTAATAGTACCTACCACACAGGGTAGTCATGAGGATTAAATGTGAAAATGTGACTAGAAGTGCTTAGATAAGTTATTCACACATCAAGGCGTTAAAATATTTTCCATTTTTTAAAGAAGAAAACAGAAGAAATGATGCCAATCACATAAATAGTCAAAGAGGCTAAAACGAAGCTTTCTTAGCTGCCTGGCAATTGCTCCCAGAATACACACTGAATCTCATTGTTAAAATTTTAGTTATACTTGCTTGGTTGTACAGCCTAAAAGATAATTTACCTCTGGGGCAAAACCATCCACTTAGACTAACTGGCCAAGTGGCGGACAGGTGCTTATAATCACCATGGAAAAGATGCTTCATCTACAAGAGTCCTCGTACACCTTAGGTTTATGTACAGGCTGGTTCCTGAACTACCTTTTCTTCTGCAAGCCCAGCTCAACTGTGAAATATCCCTGTAGCAGGTAGCAGATGAAGGTGTTTCCAGGCCAGACCTGAGTGTGAAAACTAAGAAAAGCGGCTGGCTAACTCATCACATGCCTGCTGCATGGATCACACGCTGTCCTGCTCAGGAGAGAGGCCCCCAAACTCAGTCAGTGTTAGCTGACTGACTGCATCCTTGTTGGACAGAGAAGCACATTTAGGAAGCTCTTTCCAGAAGCCCTTTCATTGTGGCTTCTACCACATCCACTGCAAGAACAGGGCTGGAGCTGCTGTAGCCATGAAGAGCAATGGGAATGGAGCTGGAAGGTGTGCAGTCCAAACTCCCATTCTGTCCCTTATTTCCTGGGTCCTTAGGCAAGTGATTTCTCTCTATTCACTGACAGGAGAGGAATCAGGCTTTAATATCATCAAACTTAGAGGGTAATCAGGAGAAGCAACCTAGAAAATGTACACAGAGCAGTTTGCCCGGTGGCACAGGCACTCAAAAACTGTCTCTGTTCTTTTTGTCTATTTAGCCCTGGCAAAGGCTAGTCTAACAAATGTTTACCAGTAACCCAAATTTTAAAACATTCTACCCCAAAGTGCCTAGCAGCATGTAAACACGTAATACCTGATCAGAAAAAAAGTCCAACATTAGGTACGTAAACTGCTAATATTTCCCCAGCAGGATGGTATTTAGCAAGAAACTGTTGCCTCACTTGGCAAGAACTTTTTCAGACCATTTATTACAAAGAATCAGAATTGAACTGAATGGTAAATAGATCTAAACAAGGAAAAACATCAATTAAGTATTATTTTCTTTTTGCCAAACTACTTTGCACTTAGAAAGGACCAAATTGCAAACTGATGGCCATCTTAATGACAAAAAAAAATACTTCCACATGTTGTTGAAAGATGTCCGACCTCTGGGGTCCTACATTTCCTTCTGTGTCCGAGTGGATCACGTGGGGCACAAGACGGGGCAAGAAGGCTGGACAAGAGAGCCCTGTTCTGATTCCTCTGCTTTCCAGGTGAAAAGTGTAACAGAGTCAAAAGAGCAATGACTTTGGGACATCGTGAACAAGGTTCAAAACCCAGGGTTTTGACTTAATAGCTGTGTGATTCTGGACTTGTTCACCTCTCTGAGCCTGAGTTTTCTCATTTGTAAAATGAGAATAATGCCTAATTTACATGGCTGATGTGAGGAAAAGGTATATGCAGATAGCAGTGACCTTGTGCTTGGCAAACAGTACATGTTTCGTCAAGAAATGAGTCGAAGTATTTTTGTAAGACTCTTTCATATGTGGAAGAGTCCCGTAATCTCCAGAGAAGCAGAAACTCTTAGCTTAACAAAGAGCCGGATGAGATAAAGGTCCAAGGCAGCACAAGTTCCAGGGCTGGAGGCAAGGCTGTTCTTCCTCACCCCCTGGCTGCAAAGGAGTTATTTTGGGATACTTGAGGCTGTTGAGCACGTCAATTGAGACTACGGCAGAAAACAAGGAAGTTCTTATACAGGATGTTTTTTAACAGCTTGAGAGAAAACCTTTCAAGAGAAAAGACTATGACCAGTGCTAGAGTTCTTCAAGTCTAAAACTTATAGTTCTGCATATGGGGAAAAAAATGTTAATTGGCAAATATGCTCTTGTTAGTGTTAAAAAACATACAAGGTAAAAAGTAGGTAGTATTACAAGCAGTATTACAAAATTCTGTTATTAAGCACAGCGAGTGACTTCAGGTCTTTAAAGGTGATACAAATGAAGGACACATAAATTTTTGTATTTCCCTTTTTTTGCATTAAAGAAAAACTAACATTTTGTAGAAGAAATAGATTGAGTTTAATAGAAAGTATAATCAAACACAGAAGAAATTATGTCCCACTAAACTGGTGATTCTTAACTTTGCCTGCATTAGGGTGATCAATTTGTCATATGCCCAGGACTTTTAACTTATTTTTTAAAAAGGTTCCTGGGATGGTTGGTCACCCTACTGCACAGCAAAATTACCTGGGCAGCTTTAGAAGTAATGATGTCTGGGCCCCAGTGTGTGTGTGTGTGTGTGTGTGTGTGTGTGTGTGTGTGTGAGTGAGAGAGAGAGAGAGAGAGAGAGAGAGAGAGAGAGAGAGGGAGGGAGGGAGGGAGGGAGGGAGGGAGAGGGAGAGGGAGGGGGAGGGAGAGGGAGAGAGAGGGAGAGTCAGGAGTTTTGAAAGCGTCCTAGGTGATTCTAACACGCAGCCAATGTTGAGTACCACCTGACGTTACAGGTGCACAGCGTGCAGAAACTCAAGAACAGTACCAACATTCTTGTGCAATCCTTTAAAATACCTAACTCACTCTCGGGTGCCGGGAGGTGGGGCAAGGCCACTGCCTTGAACTGTAATGGGGTGATTAGGCAAGGGGACTCTGAGTCCTGCCTTTGCTTAGCCATTTGACCTTGGAAATATCATCACTGATGCTCTCTGTGTCAGTGTAAAGTGTGTAACTTCGCAGATTCTGGGAAACTTAACGTTCCTGGACAAGTGCCTGGCCCGGCGCGGTGTGAGAACGAGGAGCAGAGCCAGGGCTGTTTCACCCCACACCTGCTGTGGGCTGCCGTCTTTAAGGAGGGGAATAGGAGATGCAGAGAAGTAAATGGGTGGTTTCAGCAAGGCAGTAAATGTGTGCTCAGGACATTCTTGGTGGCTAGCCAGTGAGCTAGCTCAATTCTGGAGCACTGTGGCCCAAGTCAGGTGGAAGGGGGGCCTGCAGAAGCGGATTCATACATTACCTCGAGACTCCTCAAAGGACATCTTCATTATCTGCTTCTGGTAAGATAACAAATCTGGAGAAGTTATGTGGCTTTTCCAAGGTCACAGGGCTGGTCAGCTGGTGTCTCATCTAAATTCTGTTTTTTGCCAGCCCACTGTGTGAGGCTGTGAACTGAAGTCACAGTCAGCATCTGCTGCCACTTGGGCACTGTTCTTACTTCCTGTCTGGAGCTGTCGAGCTGCAGATGGGAGTCAAAAACATGGCAAGTCCCATGGGCTCTTCCTTCTCTTCCAGGCCTTCTCTTCTCAGGCCCCAAGTCCCATCCGGTCTCAACATCAGGCCCTGGTGTAGGCTTCTACAATCAGAACCTGGGGAGGCGGCAAGGCACCACACACAGCGCCCTGCAACAGAAGCCAGACTTGGGTTTAAGTCCTGGGCCTGTGTAACCCTCCTTGGTTTCTCCAGGCCCTTTTCTTCTAGAAAATAAGAGGAATAAGCCCCAAAAGTGCTTCTCAAGCAGGAGAGTGTGGCAAAAGCACATAGGGAGCTTAAAAAGGAAAAAAAGGTTTCCCAGGACTCAGGTGACCTAATGACTCAGACTGCCCTTTTCCTGGGGTGGGTTCAGGCACGTGGTTTAAAATCCTTCCCAGGTGATTCTGACGCCTCCTCACCCCCCACCCCATGATGAGAATGTCTGGAGTAAATGGTCTCCAGACACTTTCACTCCAAGGATGGATCTTGGAAATGGCAGTTGGCTGAGTTTGCATACGTGAACAAAGAAAATGCAGTCTGTGCAAGGCAGCTGGAGAACAATCAAGACTGGGAAAATCTCAGTGGTGAGGACCTTGTTTATCACAGTCAACAGCAGAGGGCTTGGCCACAGAAGGCACTCAATACATATTAGTTGAATGAATGAGTCAATGAATGAAAGAAATGCCAGCCTTCATGGCGACAATAATAAAAATGTTCTTTGTTCTTCCTCTTGCACAAAAACTGGCCCAGATCCCCTTACGTAAAAAGCAAATAGAGTATGAGAGATGCAGTTTTTCAAAAATTGCCATTGCATATTTAAAAATCTACATTAGTTTGGTATAATACATCAGGAAGGAGGCCCAATATAAATAACGTCCTCCTTTGTCTGTTTTCAAAATGCACTTGGAATGAATGTTATCAGCATGACAAAACTGGATACATACAAGCGTTATTTCTCAAGAATATATTGGATCCAAGATAAAAAAAACTCTAAAAAATGCATTGTAGGTTAAGATAACATTGACGTACAATTTTAAAAGCAGAAACATTCTACTCAAAGACTATATGACATTGGTTTCTAAACAACCATTTGTGTACACACATCACAGGCTGGGTTGAACTTTGCATACAAGACTCAGACAGAGATAAAGAGATACATTCCTTTTTTCTCTCTCTGCTCTTCTATGGGAAAGTACTGCAAGCTCCTGGAGACAGCGGTTTGTCTTACTCTTGGTGACTTCAGTTCTAAATTTATAGGATAATGTTTAAGGGTTCTAACACAACATTACAGTTCAGCTGTGTAGATTTTTATTTTTAAGAAGGACAAGTGCTCAGTATTTTACTTTTTATTCTTTAATGTTAGGTTGATAAATTGTTCATTACCCCAGTTTTTAAAGTCAGGGGTATCTTAATGGGATACATTAAATACCCAACGTACACAGAGGGACTTAAATGTTTTCTTTCATTCTCTCCTTCAGCTTTCCCTTTCTGGTTAAGAAATAGTCATTCTTTTGCAACCTGCGTTGTTTCCCAAGCCTTAAACTGCCCAACAACCCCAAGGCGACAAGATAAAAGGGCAGGCTGAGATAGGGAAGTCCCACAAAAAGTGACATCAGCATTTGGAACAAGGCAAACCTTCAACATCTCCCCTCCCCAGGAAAAGATGCACAGGTCCTCGACGGACAAGCCCATCGCTGGACACACGCTCCCAAACCCCCAAGGAAAGACAATGCCAGTCTGGTTTTCAAGTTTATTGTTGGCACACTCACACCGATGGTACACATCATCCGAGGCGAGTCCACATCTAACAGCGTGGGTGCTGGGAAGGGAAGACGCGGGCACAATGGGATGGCGTCCTGGCCCCTCGAGGGACCGCGGGGGTTTCTTCTAACTACTGACAATCAGACCACGTCAACGCTTACCTCCGAGGCCCGCAGGAGGCTTTAAAAATGGCCTCCTGACGACACTTCCTGCTCGGAGCCGACCGGTAGAAATCCTCCCAGGAGATGCATCATTTAAAACGCCGGGGGCGGGCAGAGGAGGCCGGGCCGGCGGCTCCGCAGCCCCGAGGCCCCGCCGAGGGTCCCGCCGGCGCGTTCGGGGCGAGGCTGCGGGGTCGCGGCGGCACAAAGGCGGGCTGGCGGGCGCCCGGACCTACCCCGCCGCCCCCGGGGTCTGGGCTCCCCCGCCCCGCGGCCCGCCGCCCCCGCCCCGCAGGCCCCCCCACCCCCCCGCCCGTCACCCCTCTCCCGCGCCCAGTCCGCGGCCGGCTCGCCCGGGGCCTGCTCGCCACGACGCCGGCCGGCGGCTCGGGCACGCGGGGCCGCGGGCCGTACACCCGACCCGCCCGCCCGGCGCGGCACCCCGCGCCCGGCCCCGCCTGCCCCGCGCCCTCCTGCTCAGCCACTCACCGGCCCGGCGGTCCCGTCCCGGGAAGCGGCGCCGCACCGCCCGCCGCAGGCCGCCGCCGCCGCCGCGCCCGCGGTAGGTCCCTACTCGGGGGCGGAGCCGGCGCCGCGCCTGCGCAGGGCGACGCGGCTGGAGCGCGGCCGGCGCCCGGGTCCCTAAGGCGGCGCCCTCCCCCGCCGCGCCGCGGTGCCGGTTCCCGTCCGCGGCGCCCGACCTCCGCGCTCAGCCTCGCTGCCCGCCAGCCCCGGGCGCCTCCCTGCGCCAGGAGAGCCCAGTCGGCTTCCAGGGCCGGCCCAGCGGAGCGTTCGGGGGCGCCCGCTAGGTGCCCTGCCCGGGCCGAGCGGAGGGCGCATTTGCCCTCTGCCCTCGTGGAGCTTGACGTTGCAGTAGCGGGTGAGTGCGTGAAGGCCCGAGAAAAAGAGCTCAGGGCTGCAGCCTCCAAATTCTTCCTCTTTTGAGAGCTGCAGTGCATGAGAGATGGCCTTGAAGTCCCGGGTTCTGGTCCCGCCTCTCCTCACGCCTGTCCATCCTAGCGACGGGACCTTGGGCGAGGAAGTCCCCTGACCTCTCTGAGTCTCAGTGCTTTCATTCCTAAAGGTGGGGAAGATGAGACCTGAAGCCCAGAAACTCATCCGTCACTTAGGTGGTTGTGAGGGTCGAACGAGACGATGACTGTGGGAGAGTCTGGAGACGATGTGAGCTCGTGTAATTGCCAGCGTTTTTTCCTGCTGCTTGGACTCCAATGGCACTTTCTGGGAACCTCTCGCCACCCCCCCACCCACATGCGCACTTCTGACCTTCCAGAAAGAAGATGTATCTAGAATAGACTGAGGAAAGAAGGGCAGCGGACTGCTAGAGCCGGCATAATCGGTGACTCAGTCGCTGCTCCCTACAAAATAAAATTGCTCCCTAGTTCGGGCAGATCGTGGCAGGGTGGAGCGTCCCCGGGAAGCGCAGTTGCTCCAGGAATAACAGCCGAAAGTTTATTTCAAAGCTCCGGAAGGAATAAGGCTGGTTTCCAACACCTTCCTGTTGGAGGCCAGAGGTCACGGTGCATGGATATTGGCCAGATGCAGGGGGGAAATGCAGGGCTGGTGCAATTCTTCAACACGGAGAAGTGGCGTTCGGGAAGACAGTGTCAGCCACAGGACCAGCAGCGGGGCAGAAATCTCCACCGCTGAACAGCAAGAGCTGGGCAGAGAGAATGCTAACCCAGAGATGCGCCACCATCAGCGGGTTCTTCCCCCTGCTGTGTGCTGCCATACTCCACCTCCTTGCTGATAAGGGAGCCTCCTGGTCTTCCATCTCCCAGGCTCAGAGAAGTTAGTGCCCCTCTTCTCAGAAAAACACATTTGCGTGTGAAGAGTTCAAATGAGAATAGAGCAGAGAGTTCAAAGTCCCCCTTAAGAGTAGAGTGAGCTTGCGAAGGGCATGGAGAATCTAGACCGGCCACTGCCTGCAAACCTCTAGTGGCAAAAGGAGCCGAGTCAGAAAAGAACATTAATTCTAAGTATTGGAGAATCAGAAGTCTAAGTATTAGAGATTGTTTTCCCTGAAATTTAGCCCAAATTGTTGTCTCTCCTTGTAACTTCCACTCATGCATCACAGTTCTGCCCTCTTGAGTCATATAGAGCTGATGAAACTGTACCTCTGGGTTTCCTGGAAATGTCTCTAGAGTTGGAGCTGGTTATAAATCTCGCATCTGGAATGAAGAAGCTGCGAGCTTGCTCCCTAGCCTGTCTGAAGCTTAGTTTCTCACGTAAAATTCCGTGAATAATAGGACCTACCTCACAAGCCAGATGTCAAACAAGGGAAAGCAGGGCAAGGCTCACAATAGCCCCTGAAGTTTTATACTTCTCAGGAGCCCAAATGCAGTGAGATAAGGTGCTTCTCGGAGGGCCTGGAAATGGGGTGTTTACAGCCTGGAAAAAGGCCAAGTGGGGATAGAAACGACTGCTGTAGAAACTCTTAAAGTTGAAGTGTTGTCCCCTACAAGCCTTTTGGTGCCGGGAGAGCTCACCCTGAAACGTTTCTGGATGAGCAGCCAGTGTGCGTCTCCTGCACTTACAGCTGCCTTCACGTGTCCTGCCCCATCTCCAGCCTAGGTTGCCTAAAACCTGTTTCTGTTCCGTGGATCACCTCTGTTATAGGTTGAATTCTATCCCCTCAAAGGTACGTTAAAGCCCTGATCCCCAGTGAATGTGAATGCGAATTCACACCTGCGAATGAGACCTTATTTTAAAATAGGGTCTTTGCAGATGTAGTTAAGATGAGGTCATTGGGGGCCCTAGTCCAGTCTGATCGGTGTCCTTAAAAGAAGAGCAGAAGAGATTCGGAGAGGAGAATGCCGTGTGAAGACAGAGACACAGGGAGAAAAGGGCCACGTGAAGACAAAGGGCAAGACTGGAGTTAGGCTGCCACCAGCCACGGGATGAGCGAACACCTGGGGCCATCAGAAGCTGGAAAAAGCAAGAACGAATCCTCCCCCATAGGTTTCCGAGGAGCACGGCCCTGCTGACACCTTCATTTCAGACGTCTAGCCTCCAGAACTGTGAGACAATAAATTTGCTTGTTACAACAGCCCTAAGAGACTAATACAAGCTCCTAGATATGGCTGCCTAACATAGAGAGGAGGGAAGACATGTGAACAAAACTGGTCATTGAGTCTAAGTAAGGGCTGGAGCTGACTTTCATTCAATCACTTGTTCACTCAACAAACATTTATTAAGTGCCTATTTAGTGCGGGCACAGGCTGGGTTCTGAGGATAGAGTGAGGAACCAGATAAGGCTCTGCTCTCAGGGAGCATTCATTTAGTTGGGGTTTGTAGACCTCAAACAATTAAAGGAATACAGAATTAATATTCGGGTTTTCTGGAGACCAGGGAGAAAATAAGACTGGGTTGTGTGGTGTGGAAGGGAGTGCAAAGCAAGAGAAAAGATGATCTGAAAAGCTCAGTGAAGGGGACTTTGAAGATGAGCCAGCCAGGTCTTTAACAGCCAGGTCAGGACCTTCGAGGTTGGGGGGTGGGGCGCGGGGGGGACTCCTAGCAACCCTGAGTACAGCAGAGCCAGCCCTGCCCAGTATTTTCATGCCATCCTCTCACCTTCCCACGCTGGAGCAGATGATGCTCTGCTGCTGTTCATAGGGTTTTCGTGGCCAATTTTTCTGGAAGTGGGTGGCCAGGTCCTTCTTGCTAGTCTGTCTTACTCTGGAAGCTCAGCTGAAACCTGTCCACCGTGGGGAACCCTGCTGATATTTGAAATCCCGGTGGCATAGCTTTCAGCATCACAGCAATATGCAGCCGCCACAGTAGGACAACCGACAGATGGGAGGTGTGGTTCCGTGACCTGACAGAGCCTGGCCACTGCAGAGAGACTGGAATCTTGACCACTAGGGCAGCTGGGGTGGGGGTCGGGGCGCAAAGACATGTAAATCTCAGGCACTTAAAGATTGTGCATGAAGAGACCCAAGGAAATGGCTTTTTTTGTTGTTTAAAACATTTCAAAAATTTCTAGTAACTTCTTTGAGCCTTAGTTTGCTCACCTGTGAAAGAGGGATAAAGGGCTCTTTGCCCAGGGTCCCCTAGGTTATATATGACAGCCCTAATACTCAAATTCAGGTCTCCTCCCAGTCCTGGGGGGCGGGGAGCCGAGGCTGTAGAGTCGAATTCTGATCCCATTACTCGTCTCTTCCAGCTGTGTGACCTTGGGCAAGTTACTGCTAGTCTCTGAAAGCTTTTCTCAACTGTTAAAAGGGAGTAACTGGGGCAATCTTTTCTGGAGGTTGTGGAAGGGAGGAGCGCGCCTGAGGCTAGGCTCGGGTCCCAGCAGCCCCGTGCCTCCCGGCGCCGCTGCCTCCTTGCCCGGCATTCCAGGCTGCGCACGCCCTACTCGGCCGCCGGGAGCTGCGGGACGGCGCGGCGCGGCCGGCTGGGAGCCGCGATCAGCGCACTGGGCATGCGCGGCCGGTAGAGCCAGGGGAGGCCGCCTGGACGCGGGGCCCGGCCCCGCCCGGGGACGCAGCGCGCTGCAGTACCACCGGCGGCCTGTGGCGTCGCTGCGCGGCCGGCTCTCCCGGCTCCCCGCGTGTAGAGCTCTACCCGGCGTGCCGGCGGGAGGGAGCGCAGCGGGGCCGTCCCGCGCCAACCTGGCCGTCCCTGCTGCAGCCTGGGCGCCCCGGCCCACGGCCCGCCCTCCCGCCGACCCCGCTCCTGCGAGAATCGCGATGTGCTGCTTTGCTTTCATTTCTCTTATACCGCAGGAGCAGGAGCGGCGGCGGCGGCTGCACTCGCAGCGCTAGAGAGGGCTGGGCGCTGCCCTTCTGCGCTCTCCCGACCGACCAACATTTGCAAAGGTTGCATTTAACCAAATGCAAATGTTGCCCTGAAGGATCGCGAAGGGTGGGGTCAAAGTCATTCCTGATGATTTGCAGCCCTCTCATCCTTCACATTTCGTTAGACTTGCAAATAAGTGTGTGCCACCGCCTCTAGGCTGTAAGTCCCACCGGGACACGTGTCCTGGCTGTTTTGTTCGTGGTTGACGCGCCAGGATAGAGCACAGTGCCAGGCACAGAACAGCCCCGGCTTCCAGGGCCAAGCTGGTCTGAACCACCAGCGTCTTTTGCCTAGACGAGGGCTAGACAAGCTTGGTGGGGACAGGGGTCGGTCCCCCACGTCGGTTCCCGAGGGCGGGGATGGGTACGGAAAGAGAGAGGAGCGTTTAGAAACATTCATAGCACTTGGACAGGGCATCCCAGCGGCCCGATTCGAAGAATAGGGTAGCGGAGTCCCGGGTGGGGAGTAGTCAAACTCAGGGGATGGTCGCTTGCGGCTCCGGCTGCGTTCTAGCCACATGCAGCAGACGCGTGCAGGTTCAAAGCGATAGGGGTGGGAGAAGACCTGGTCCTTCTCTGTAGATGGCTGTAGGCTGCTTTAGTAGCCTCCTGTCTCACCTCCCTGTTTCCACTCGTTTGTGTCACTCATCCATTCTGCAGCATCCAGAGTGCTCCTTCCACAAAGCAAATGAGATCGAGTCACTCCCCAGCTCAGCTGAAGAGTCCTTGCAGGACCCTGCAGC